CACCATCACCATCACCATCACCATCACCATCACCATCACCATCACCATCACCATCACCATCACCATCACCATCACCATCACCATCACCATCACCATCACCATCACCATCACCATCACCATCACCATCACCATCACGATCACCATCACCATCACCATCACCATCACCATCACCATCACCATCACTACTATTATTTTTTTTATTATTAATAATAATAATAATATTTGTATTCACACATTTACACACGTACGCACATTTTACGTATTTTATATATAATCTATCATATTGGTACAAAATATGAGTATATACAATAAGTACATGTTTATTTACGCTGTTTCTGTGAAACTTCTAAGTTATATAAAAAGTATAATTTTGCTAAGCATACGATTTGATTTTGTTTACTTAATGTAATTACTTACGATTGTATTATAAAAAGATATTTGCAGTAAATAAATTTTAAATAAAATGTTGTAGTACAATTTTATATTATATTTTACTAAGTTTTAATATATTAAATTTTCTAATAGTTTCAAATTGTAAACACATTCCTATATATTCGAACACTGATGTTAAATACATTAACAAAAAAATGATAATAACACTTTAATGCATGATTTACATGATTTAAAAAACGTATAAAACTAGAAGAAGATAATCTAAAAATTTTATAATTTTCTACAAACAATACTTTTATAAAAATTGCATATTAAATTTTGTTTTTAGATTATTATAAGATTATTATTATATCCGATTTAATTATTATATTAATGTCTTGATTTTTAATTAAAAAAAATGTTCTTATTAAAAAATTTACCATTATTTAAAAGTATGTATAAACAAAACATTTTTTTCTAAACAAATAAATGCATATTATTATATCAGCAATAAATTTGTTTTTTTTTTACATCCTACGATTAATTTAAATTTGATGTATTCAGTAACAAAAGGAAAAATTTTTTTGAATTGGTTCGTTGCAGGGTATGCAAATGCAAAGATTTATAAATGCGATAACGAAAAATGTCCAAGACCAGGATGTTATATATCCGGAGGATCGAGCAAAGATGATTCGTTTCCTTGTTTACGTCCAGTTTGTCCTGGACGATTTCAACTTGTACGTCATGTATCCTTCGTCGATTGTCCAGGTCATGATATCCTTATGGCAACTATGCTGAATGGTGCAGCTGTCATGGATGCAGCTTTACTTTTAATTGGTATATAATTAAAATTTTATTATATCTGAAACAAAAGTTATTTAGGATAAAATAGTCAATAAATATTTATTTATAGCTGGCAATGAATCGTGTCCGCAGCCTCAAACATCAGAACATTTAGCTGCTATTGAAATTATGAAACTGAAATACATAATAATTCTACAAAATAAAATAGATTTAGTAAAGGAAGCTCAAGCAAAGGAACAATATGAACAAATTTTGAAATTTGTACAGGGTATTTTAATTTTAATAGTTTTATTTTATGAATTATTCATATAAATGTATACTACTAAACAAATTGTTTTCTTCTTCTCAAATTAGGTACAGTAGCTGAAGGAGCACCTGTAATACCAATTTCTGCACAACTCAAATACAATATTGAAGTTTTATGTGAATACATTACGAAAAAAATTCCAATACCTCTAAGAGATTTCACTTCGGAACCAAGATTAATTGTAATTCGATCGTTTGACGTAAATAAACCTGGTTGTGAAGTAGATGATCTGAAAGGCGGCGTTGCTGGAGGAAGTATTTTAAGAGGAGTATTAAAAGTACATAGAAAATATATTTTTGTAGTTATGTTTGTTTACAGATATGTTATGTATTTGCTATTTTCTAGGTGGGTATGGAAATTGAAGTTCGCCCTGGACTGGTATCTAAAGATAATGAAGGAAAGTTGACCTGCCGACCGATATTTTCACGGATAGTGTCATTATTTGCTGAACAGAATGAACTTCAATTTGCTGTTCCAGGTGGCCTTATTGGTAAGTAAACTAAAAACTCGAAAAGATATAAACCATAAGAAAAAAAAACTTGATAATATATGAAGAATAAATTTTAAGGTGTCGGAACAAAAATTGAACCAACATTATGTCGAGCGGATCGTTTGGTCGGTCAAATTTTAGGAGCCGTAGGAGCTCTACCTAAAATATTTATTGAACTCGAAATATCATATTATCTTCTTAAGCGATTGTTAGGAGTGAGAACAGAGGGCGATAAGAAAGGAGCAAGGGTAAGTATATTGTATGAAAATGTTATACTAAAGTATATTTTTACATCGTAATTGTAAACTATTATTCGGTAATAGGTGCCAAAATTATCGAGAAATGAGGTACTATTAGTAAATATTGGATCATTGAGTACTGGAGGTCGTGTATTAGCTACACGTGTCGATTTAGCTAAAATCAGCTTAACGAATCCTGTGTGTACGGAAATTGACGAAAAAATAGCGTTATCACGTCGTGTTGAGAAACATTGGCGTTTGATTGGTTGGGGTCAAATTTGTGGTGGTCAAACTATAGAACCAGTTATAGATCGAAAGTAATTTCAACGAATATCACGAAAAAACAAAAACTTAATAATATAAAAAAAAGAAGAAAAAAGAAACAAATTAAAAATAATTTCTACAACGTGAAATGTTGTTTGAAATGTTTATAATAAAGTATAAAATACACATAATTTGTGTACCATTTAATTGCATTTTTCCTGAAATTCTTTTCCTAAAAATAAATGGCATATAAAATTCATAAGTATGATTTATACAACATCTATCATTATTATAAAGTAAATATTTTTTAATATATTACTCTTAATATAATATATTACTCTCAAAATATTTACTCTTTTAGAATGTATGTAAATAAATGCTTGATAATTAATCAAGTTGATGAATTATTTTCTATTTTATATATCTTACCTATTTTTATTTTATATAAAAATAAATTGAAAAGGATTAAATACTAGTTAATTAAATATATATTGAAATATTTTATTTTAATCATGTTAAATTAGGTATAGATATAAATCCTGGTTGAATATATGAAATTGACATTGAAACACATGCTAATAGTATTGGTGAATTGTCTGCATCTTGCATTAAACGGTGTAATTCAATTGGTTGTATAAATGGATCATCTTGTCTGAAACGAAAAAAGAAAATGATATGGAATTTTATAAAATAATAGAGATGTAAAATAATAAAAATAAATTACCTAATTACGACTACTCTATAATATGGAAGACCAGGATTCGCTTTCCTGTAGTTCTGTGTATTGGAATATACATTGTAGGATATTTTATATTTATTTTTCTTTCTTCTTACAATTTTTTCGGGTGCAGATTTAATTATTTTAAGTTTACTAAAAACTTCTTCAAGACTATTTGCACTCTTTGAGCCAACAAGAGGATTACGTAATTGTCCAACTACCTGTACTTCGTTACTATCTTCAATAACTTCTTTTCCTATATCTTCATCATCAATTGTAATTGTTTTTATTTCGCGCCATTTAGTTTTCAATTCTGACCATGATGATACGCCTGGCAATACTTTAAATGATGATTGATAGAATTCATCGTTACTGGATGCAATATTCATATTTTTATGATGTCGCGGCCAATACCTCGGACGAGGGTCTAGAAGTAATATATTTCCAGTTATGCTATAAATTGATGTGTTTCCTACGATCCTTTGATGATATAATTTTCGTAATGGTAAGAAATTTGAACTTGCATTATTGTTTATGTGTTCAAAACTTTGACCAAATCGATATCTTCTATCTGCTTGCTGTAAATTTTTTAATTTTGCACTGTCATAATGATAAATCGTTTTAAGGGGTTTTATACTATGCGGTATGTAACCTCTTGAAATTTTTATTGTAATTGTAGATTGAAATGCAATGTTTGGAATCAAATTTAATAAATCCATTCGTGTTATAGGTTTCGGTACTTCTTGAATTTCGTCATCAGATAGTTCTATTACCTAATCAGAAGAAGATTGTAAACATATTTTTAGCATTAATATCTTATTATAACTGTAAACATAACTAATACAAATATTACCGTACTATACCTCATGTTTTGATTTCTTAAGTGGAGAATTTTCTCTTGGTGGTGAAAGTAATTTATGTTTTCCTGAATAACATTCAGGACTTGTAGTGTTAGAATCCAAAATATCAATAGTTGATGGTAGTTTGTCTGTTCTTCTAGGTACTAATTTAACATTACGTTGTATACGCGATGCTCGCCAATTTGTTGAAATATTACTTCCTTTGGTATAATCATTCATATGATCTGTAATAATTTTGATATTACCTAATAAAGTCTCATCTGATATAATTTCTACCTTGGAATTTCGTTTCTTTTTATCTCCATTCATATTCACAGATTGTGAATTGGGATCTGACTTTTCTTTACTTCTCATATTGTTCTCATATTCAATATTTGCAGATTGTGCTTCAATATTTTCTACTGCACAAAGAAGATCATCTACAATTTCATGAACTTCATCTGAAATATCTTTATCTTCTATTGTCTCTTGACAAGTTTCACTGCAAAAATTATTATCGTGTGTATCAGTTCTTTTTGAATAATCAACGAATTTTTCACTATGTAGATCTGTACAATCTTTATTTTGTTGGTGAATATCAGCCATCCAAAGACCATTTTCAGGTTCAACAATAACTTTACGTTTAACACTAGTTTCATCACCTTTTGTATTTTTTTCTGAATTATAAACAAAACGTTGGATGCGATAACCATACCGTACTAATTGACTATATACTCTGTATTCCTCTAATGAACATTCAACATTATCAATTAAAAGTTCATAAGCTTGTTGAATGGATAATGATACATCATTCCATGTAAGCTCCAAACAATTCTAAAACAGAATAACGCTTTACTTTTTTCTGCTATATTAGAAAATCATTTCTGTGTATTACTATCATGTTATAACATACAGCTTCTAGAAGAAATAATGCTTCCTCTGGTATTAAGTATAAGGTACCACCTTTTTCTAAACCAAAACTACTCCAATCTTGACCAGAATACTTTTTCACTTTAGCCTTTTTCTGTGCGGGTAACCATTCTGCACTAGCTAACTGAGAAATACGATCTACTCTTTCTATAGCTATTAAATTTTTTCTAGCCATGATACCCTTTTCAATTTGCATATTTTGAAGCCAAGAATTATTTGGTTCAAACTGTTTCATTCCAGTTTTCGGAAGAGTTTTAGATGATTTCTCATATTCATCCCATGCATTATATTTTAAGCCTTTATTTTCTAATAATTCTTCTGCACTGAAACATTCATTTTTTGTATATGTTACATCAATCTGATATAAATAATAAAAATGATTAAAAAATATTGAAATATTTATGTTATAAAAAACTTACGTTAACATATTAGTTGGAATATTTTTTGTTTCTTCGGTCATGATTCTGTAATTGTTTTTCTTGGTAAAATCCACTATAATTCATTATCTACATATCTTGTCAAAGGTGAATTAAAATATTTGTAAAAGTCTTGAAATTTTTTGCATACAACATTTAATTTAATAAATAAATATTTAATATCGAAATTTATAAATAATATAAATATTATGGATATCGATTATTATTTATTTCATCCATGCCTTTTAATTGAAATCTATGAAGCGCATAACGAAAGTTAAAATATGCCGGTAAGATATATTTGACAATATAAATAAGTCATCGATATAAAAAATTATACATGTTTATATAATAGCGAATAACAGTAAGTACGTACTTATTAAAATATTTTACGATCATATTTCATTTTATTTTTTTAGAACATTTGTGCAAGGTTAAAAACACAGTTATATACATACGTGTCAATGTATGATCATTCCATTTTTTGAAAACAATTTTTTATATTATAAAAGAATTATTACAGTTTTCCATTGTTATTGTCGGGTTATTCAAATTTAAATTTTTTGTTTTGTTTTGCTTAATACCTCTATTTTTTCTTAAATAAAAAATTAGGTTTAAATTAGGTAGTTAGTCAGATTCATTACGTCGTATAAGGTATAGTTATCTTACTTTTAATTCTCTTCTACTATTGGATAATCGTATATGAATGAACGGAACTATCCAATTATTATAAAGTATCTGGTACCTGTATTTGGAGACAAAAAATTCCGCTTTGCTGCAATATAGTAATCAATCTTAAATGATAGAATTATAATTGACATATATGATAAAAGTAAAATATCAATAGTTTAAAGCGATGCACAATATATTCATTCGTGATTTCATAAATTACATTTTTGCGCATCATCGATGGTAAGTATAGTTAATTCACATGGTTCGCCCACTCATTGTTAACGTGATAATAATCGTGTGAATATGTATACAATAACGCGTTTATGTTAGTTATCAAGTTGAGACAAGATACTTTGACACATACAAATGATTGTAATTCATTACACGAACTTTTTGGGCGTTACAAAAGAGTGCTTTATCGTATGACATATGAAGTATTGATATCTTAAATTATGATCATGTTATTGTGCTATTCTTTTGGAATTTATTAGTGATTAGTTGTCAACTGTCAATTATAAAATGCGTTGAGATATTTTTTTCTTTACTCCGTTTTAATGACGTAAGTAAAAAATGTTTGTGATTATAAGAATTTAACGATTAACATTTGTTTTGTTTACAAAAATTGCTAATATAATTGAGATAAATATAAAATATATATTTTATAAAAATGTCAGAATACTTGATAACATATCTATAGGAAATATAAAAATTATTGATTTCAGAAAATAATTGTTTATTTTACTATTTGTTATTTTTAAAAATAAAGTTATATACATAAGATTAAAAAAGATATTTAAACAATGTTCAATTCTTCATAAAGAAAACTTTTGAAATCAAAATTTTATTATTATAACAAAGATGTAGTATATTCTAAAAATTTATATTTTATTTTAGACAATTAGAAAAATGCTATGGCGTCCTCAGGATCACATAATGGGGATGCAGAAACTGAGAGTGATAAATTTGAAGGCTCTAAAATTGATCGTCATGGTTTCCTTCAAGATTCTAATTGTAGTTCTGACAGGTAATATAAAAGAAAGAATGTAACAATTATATGTTAATTTAATAATTGCAATAATATATAAAAATATGTATTCTTATGCTAATATTTGTGTAAATTAGCCTTGGTAAACAAGGAATACCACCAGAGGTAATGCTAAGAAGGGAACGGAAATGGATACAAATGTTAAACAATTGGAGCTATTTTATGAATACAAATTATCGTAAAGTAAGGGAAAGATGTCGGAAAGGTATTCCACCTTCTGTAAGGCTTCGTGCATGGCTAAATCTTTGTGGAGGTCAATTGTTGATGGACAAAAGTCCAAATTTATTTGAAGAATTGGTGGAACGATCTGGTGATCCAAAATATATAGATGATATCAAAAAAGATCTTCATCGTCAGTTTCCACATCACATAATGTTTATTGGAGAAGCTCCTGGACAAGAAGAATTATTTAAAGTATTGAAAGCTTATTCTATTTTAAATAGTAAAGTTGGTTATTGCCAAGCTCAAGCACCTATTGCAGCATTTTTATTGATGCATATGCCAGCAGTACAAGCATTTTGGTGCCTTGTTGCAATATGTGACAAGTATTTAATTGGATATTATAGTCAAGGAATGGAAACTTTATTACGCGATGGAGATATTTTATTTGCTCTTTTGAAAAGGGTATCTCCCATTGCTTATAAACATTTGGTTAGTGCTAATTGTTTCATACATAATTAAAAATAATAATATATACACCTATTGTCATTTATTTTTTCAGAAGAAACAAAAGATGGAACCAATTTTATATATGACTGAGTGGTTCTTATGTGTTTATACACGAACACTGCCATGGGAAAGTATTCTACGAGTGTGGGATATGTTCCTCTGCGAAGGTGTTAAAATTATCTTTAAAGTCGGACTAGTTTTGTTAAAAGGTAGTTTAGGTCGTGCATCTCTTACTAAACGTTGTCCAACATTTCATGAAACATTGCAAGTATTAAGAAATCCACCTCAGCATATTATGCAAGAAGAGGCTTTAGTTTATCAGGTAGGATATAATTTGTTTTTATGTCTTTTTCTTGTATGTATGTTCTGTTAAATAAATGCAATATTACAGATTCGAAAATTGAACCTAACAGAAGAAGATTTTGAATATGAACATCAACGTCAAATATTAAAACGGAAAGCAACAGAGCAAGTATCCCTTTCCACTGCCAATCGGACAGACTGATTAAGGAGAAAATAGATAGCATGTAAAATGAATAATGAGCTTACAGGTATTATTCCAAAGTGTGCCTTCCTTTATATATTTCATACTGTACAAATCATAAAATATATACAATTATAATTTTACACAACATAAAAGTACATATAGAGAGGTGTGAAAAGTACCTAACATCTTTAATACAAATTTAGGTAGTTCTTGAATATAATCACACATGCATATACATTCCTCAAATAGGACACATAAATTAACTTATCCCTATTTTCTCTACCACATCTAGGATTACAAATATGCACAATACTTGTAGATGTTTATAGTATCCTTTAATGCTGTATTATTTTGAATATATCTCTAGTTATGTAATTTCGTATAATTTTATTGATATTTATGTACAAAAGAACAAAAAGGATTGTAAAACATTACATTTTTTAAGAACAAAACTTAGAGATATTATATAATGTTATCAAATAAGAATTGTTTTGTTTAGCTCAATGTTGTTTTTGTTAAAATTGATCTAGTGACAAATGATGTAATTAAATAGATGTTATGAATATATTTTGCAGATTATTTAGTTTTATTGCAACCTTACACATTTTAATCCAATGGAATCTAAAATATAATTTCAATTAGATTTTGTGTGTATCGCTAACATTAATTTTCTCTATATTTATTATAAAATTTACCTAATTATATACATTATATATATATACACACATTATTTGATAGAATTTATGCGATGATTCTTAAATTTATCCAAAATATTGTAACGTTCGATAGCATTCGTAACTATGTTCGTTAAATAAAAAAAATCATCTTGAATACTTCGCGCAGGTAATATATCAAGTTGAGTGAATTTTGGTAAGAATAGAACACTCATCATGAATATAATAGCCATGGTGATAAAAGTACTTATGGCTACAAATAGAGGGTTTGACAACTGTGTTTGAGTAGTTTGTGCAGCTTCCGTATTGTCAAATGCATGGGCAGGCTACAAAGAACGATAGGAACGTGATATTGAGAAGATTAAAACAATATAACATTTTTTGTTTCCTTTCTTTTTTAAATCAAACGAATTTTCATTGATTTCAAGTTAGAACGTATGCTTTAACAAAGTAAAATAATGTCAAGAAACATCATGATTGTTTACTTACAATTGTTTTATAACCATGATTTTTTTTAAATTCTGACATAAAGGTTTTTAATGGAAAGAAGTAATATTGATAGAGAGGCTGTTTGACTGGAAATTCCACGTGAGTTTGAGTAATCTGAGGCATTTCACCGGAGGAAAGTGCTTTGGTTAATGAAGACAAACTGATCGTCGACCCTTTTTCTAATGCACTTTTGTACATCGCCGCTAATTCTGCCCTTGTAAATCCAAGCATTTCTGATTCTCGCATCTTATTAACGATAGGAATGCGGGACTGAAAAATAAATAAGAGAAATAAACAAAAATTAAAAAGATAATAAAAATATCACTCGCTTACCTCGTGATAATGCGGGAAGCTTAAATCAGTTGAATCAACCTTTTCGTTAAGTAACATATTTTGGTGCTGAAAACTTTGGTTTTGATATCGTCGTGTATTTTGTCGTGCATTCATATTGATCCTTTGAACAGCGTGATTATGTCGATCTTTATTCATATAAATTACATTCTTGTAATCTTTGTTCGATGACAATCGGTCGTAAATACTAATGGGAGGTGGAACATTAAACTCTTGAAGTTGGATCATTACCTTTTGAAGATATTCCCCGCTCGATTCACCGTTCATCTTCACGTTTCTAATAGGGTTCAGAAATACTAGGACGAGATAAATTAATTTCATTCTTTCCGTTGTACTTATTCGATGTATCATCGTAATCTCTTTTATTCTATATGAAATATATCTATCGATTAGTGAAATAAGCAGTTTTTCCTGCAACCATTTTGCCATATCTTTATCGCGGCATATTTTCAAATATCGATAAGACTTGAAAAATCAAAACAATATACATTTTAACCGATATCACATTGGTTTTATGATTAATAATCTTTTTCACGTTAGCGCTGTAATATCAACTCTTTGTTCCTTCAACTGTATGAAACTCAACTGTATATTCTTCTCTTCATTGAATTCCCGATTATACGATATTTTCTATTTTTCTCTCTTTACGTTTTCAATAGAAATACCATCTCTCGGATCTGCGTAACGAATACTCGCGGTCAGTATGTTCGCAATTGTACTAACCAGGGATGGACTGCACGAGTATCCTCGGCCAACTTTTTCCCCACCAAGTATTTCTGGAATTCTTGCTTATACGAACAAGAAGAACATCCATTAAGAAATCTGTATAAACTGTACGTTAAGTATATGCTTCAAGTTAATATTTTTATCGCTAGATTTCCGGTCATTGGATTACAATAAATTTTATTACGATTCCTGGCATATTTCTAACTCAACTTTACATGTATATACATATATTTGCAATTTTATTCCCGCCAAATAGAAATACTTATAATTAATAATTCACATTACTTTGTACACCCGTTTCCTCTGCTTAATCTCAATTTTAAAAGAATAAAATTTAATCGCTCATCTTTTCTGCAAATGAATGCATTATTTTTTTTATTATTTGTATGATTTGATAATAAACTCGACCACCGGAATAAATATTTACTACGACTATGTACTAGGTATAGAAGAAAATTTGATCAACGAAGAAATATAAGGATACCATTGAAACGTTATTTCTATTATTCCGTTAGGAATCGACTTATTTCAGAGTCGGTAATTTCATAGACACGCGATCGAATATAACGGACGTGCTCAAAACACCGGATGGCTAGGTTTTTGAATACTCGATACTTTGGAGACCTTGACGCGTGACTCACGATATCGTGTTTGCGTTATCATTTCGTATCCTCATCGGTTGGTCCGCTTTTTTCGCTCAGGTTGGAGGAATACGAGCGATTATTACGTGATTTGTGAAAAAAAATGGAAACAGTACAGTAAACCAGTCCAGAGGAAACACGTGACAAGATTGAGTACAATGGTAATTTGAAAATTTATGCTATTTGATGCAGGTTATAGATACAGAATGGTTTATTCGAGGATTGTGAGCTTCTTTTAATCAAAATATTGTAACAGAAACCTGATTTTCTTTTGTTCTACTGGCCTTTTTATCAATTTCGTTGTCTCATTGCAGTGTTCCATCGTTAAAAGGAAACTTGCACGGTGAAATAGATCTAAACGGTGAATCATGTTCTCGCCAGCCCCCAGCCGCAGCAATAGTGTCTATTTCAGAGATAATTGGTGGACCGAGAAATATTTATATTTTGCTTTCTTTTTCCATGTCGATTATTTTCGAAAAATACAAGTAAAATATTCATTATGAGGTAATATAACGTTAATTTCCTAATAAATAATTTGACGAAATGGATTAATTGTCATCGGTTTATTATGTAAATGATGATAAGTTTCAGACGTGGACGATGTACAATGAACTTTCAAGGAATTGCGGTTCACTGAATGGATTTATAAGGAGCCGTTAGATGACAACCTACGATTTTCTTTAATACGTTCATCCACTGTAATTACTTGGCTATCATTAGTTGTTCGGGTTACAATATCAATCATGTTAATGTTTTTCGCAATATCTGAAAAACGTACAACATTCGTTATACAATTTAATCATCGTCATTCTTTTACAAAGATAGATATCGATAATTTTGCAAAAAAAGAAAAAGAAACATATATTTATATATCTCAGTGTCAATAATAGTAATTTAAAATGTACATAACGGCACGTTTACATGTAAAATAGAAAATCAACGGTTCTACGAATAGAAGAATAATAATTGAACGTTATATATTATTGAGTTTTCGTATGTTTATTTTGTGCTGAAATTACGTTGAATATAATTTCTGGAATCTGAATTATGTGGACATATCTATTTAAAAAAGTAATTTTAGATTTTAGACGAATATTAAAAGAATGTACCGTACACTTTCCTGACTGGTTACGCGGATAAAAGGAGGGGGAAGAAGGGACAACTAAAATTGCTCGTATGGCTCGTTATTGTGTCGTGTATTTCCTTTCACATCGAGTGCACCGTTACCGATATCGCTTTACAATTTTTTTTTTCATACAAAAAAATGATTCGATGATCAGCGCCGCTACATCATTTTTGTCGTTCGTCAATTATCTTCGCATAAGATCGGAGAACGACCAATTGTCGTTACACGTATTTCATATATGTATATATATATGTATATATATGTTCATATATGTATATATATATACATATACACACACACACACACACATCTTAATCTTTAGCATAACCTCCCTCTTATAAAGTGAATATCATACAAAATCTAAGGCTATACGTAATTTAATTTTTAATTTTTCATTATATACGAACATAATGTAGTAATACAATACGCGGCTGTATTTCGATTTTATTCTCCTTATACTGTTTAATTTACAAGAAAAGATTCTAGCTTGTCATGGGTCAACGAGTTGGATTGGAGACGGCGGTGATAGGCCCTCTTCTTAGAGCTTTTACATTTTTCTCCATAAAGCATACAAAGCACGAAAATTATTCTTTTTCTCAGTTCTACATGGTCTAGTTCTACGCTGCTAAATCGATTTGAACTTCGTCGCGTATCATTTCTCTATGTATGCGCGCGCAGTTATAGTTACTACGTACACCGACTTCCGGCTGCTCAGCACCGTTTGATATCGGCCGCGAAAATTTAAAAAACTATTCGAGTATTGCAATCGTGATGTTCGATGCGAAACTTAATCGCGGTTAGTTAAAAACATGCCTTAAAAGGTATACATTATATACAGAACGAAAGAATACCGTTACGAAAGGTTAGTGCCTAAGTTGATTAAAAAGGACGTTCGACAGATATCTCCATTACTCTCTTGAGATCACGGTATACGATTTCATCGGGTGAAAGACTATCCTTTGAAAACATCTGATTCTGACATATTCGCGCGTTCAATTCAAACAACAAACAGATTTACTAACAATCATTTTCATCAGTTTTTGAAAATTTGTCGGGCGATAAGTATGAATAATGGTAAAAATCGCGTTGATAGCAATTTCTATAAAAAAAAAAAAGGCCGGGATACATTTTCTCTTCTATTTTTTTCTTCTTGGCTCTTAAATTTATCGTTTACGTTCAACACTGGTATTGGAAGATTGGAAACGTTATTTTATAGCAAATTTGGATCAACATAAACCAGACGCAAAAGAAGACGTATTTATCGAATGTATATTACAGACCGCTCTAAGAATTAATTACTAATTGCGTAGAAGAACATAAATATACGCTATAGCATATTCTAAAAATTAAACAGCGACAATTCATAGCACATCTTTACGCACACAATTTGAGCGTAACTTATGTATTTGTACATGGCAGCACGATATTTTTAAATGAACGTCGCATGTGTACTTATCGCAAATATCAGAATCCCCTACTTGATGGTATAATCGTCGAATAAATAAAAATTACAGGTTTGATACAAGCTACGCGTTAAAGAAAATCAGACTAACAAGTCTATACATGCCGCTAATTAATTAGATCGAGTAAAATACTTTATTGCTATGTTTGCAGGATAAGCAATCTCGTTAAAAATCTGATGTAAAGTTGCAACAATAAGAACTAATTATAAAGAATACTTTTGATAATACTTTGTTGTATTATCCACCTAACAGACTAATAGAATATTTCCTTCGTCATTACGATTTCGTAGAGAAGAAAAGTAATTGGAAATATAAAACGTACATACATACGAGGTGACCCATTTCGATCCATAAATGGATAAATTTTCGACAAATCCATTAATTCGATACGTTTTTTCAAACATCCTATTAAAGAATTTAATACTTGGATGTAACGTTTTAATCGTTTGTCTTTTTTCTTCGAGTATTATAACGATTGGAAAAACCACTATGTAACTTTTGTAATTCTGGCAGTTATTTATAATAAAACGTACATCGTGTCAGTTGACACGATTCATTGAATGATTGTAAAAGAACTAGAAAGTCGTATTAATTATGATTGATGTTTTGTTTCATGGTATTTAAATTTTGTATGAAACACGCAACACTTTGTTAAATTACAAGTGCATCGAGTCGGTGAAAAATGCTTAAAAAATTTTAACAAGAATATCCGTATCAAACGTAGAAGATTTTGCAAGTTCACTGAATGTCGGATAAAAGTGAATCGAAATTACAAGTTATAAAAGTATAAGATTGGTGTTATAAAAGCTGATTTCTATTGCCAGTTGTACATAAAGGATCGTGATTCATCACATCTTAAACTCGTCAGTCACATGAAATATCACAGGAACGTTAGTAGGTGCCATCGAATTTATGCATATCAGATAGATAGTACATTGCTCGTGCACGTGTTAAGAAAATATAAAGAATTAATAATAATATAAAAATAAAAAGGAAACCTCAAAGCTGTCCTGTTTTAATTTGACCATTCAAAGTATGTCAATGTGCCTCCATTATTAAGTCATTATTTTATGTACATTATACATTTAAAAAGCTTCTTCAATATACCTTTGTAAATCAACAAACACAAGCAATGGATAAAGCACAATGAAAAATTAAGTATAAGCATATAAAATGCCCTTGATAATTATCTTACTTGGTATCATTGCAAATTTCACTTCATGTATCAAAACTGTAAAAAAGCCTTTGCTGCAAGCACTTTAATCTCCAAGCAAAATAGTTTCCTATTGTGCTTTGCAAAAATCTTCCTTGTTTCTTTCAATTGTAATAAGCTTGTGCTGCTACGATTGACATCTGCATTTATTATAGCAAGGAAAGAGAAAATATCGAAATCTTTTGATCAAATTAAAGGTATTCTCTTTAGGGTAGTAAATTCTGTTTATAAACAAATTTATTCAAATTTCAATACCTTAGAATTATTTGTCAAATGCAGCACAATCATATTCTCAATACTTTATACTTCACTGCTATGGAAATAACACAATTTATAAACTTCTACACTAGCTGATTCATGTACTATTACTTAGCATTGTTATTTTTTTCAGATATTAGAGAAAATTTATCAAGAATGGCATCTTCAATATATAAAGTGAAACATAGTTGGTCAATCACTTTTTTCCGTCACAAGAAGAGTACTTAATATATATCCTACATGAATTATGATCCATGAAAAAGACCGCCGTCTCCTATTTTTCTTACACGTACTGCCTAATCATACCAACAAACGCCACGCACACGTTCTTATAGAGCACGCTGTATCATTATTCGCGCTACATGTTTCTAGCCAGTTACATAGAGCCATTTACCTCGAGATTAATTAAAGTTAATATCAGATTTATGATCAAGTTAATTTCAGTCAATCTCTGCTATTACGATTTAAATAAAAGATTAATGTATCAACACAGCCTGATATAATTAATAATACGCGGCATTATTGCGATTTATTTTTTGAGAGAAGATGGCAAACTGTGAAGCTACCATTAACTTTAACTTATATCTGAGGTATCTCCATATTATTATAATAGCACGTTTGCACTTTTATATACGCAGCTTACAAAATAAAAAGTTAAAAAAGTGGAATACACTTGCTATTCGATCAAAACGTACCTTCTTTCGTCAACAGACCGTATCAGAATCTTCATGATAAAAATAAAAAATTGTATACATTAATTTACAACAATGTTTTTAATATTTCTAATTCATACACTGGCTGTAAAAATGTCGATGTTTCTTTATACACATACTATGAGATGAAAATGTGTAACAAGAACAGTACATATAACTAATTACAAAATTGTTATTGCAACTTTGTAATTGTATATTTTGTCACATATTAACAGTAGTTACATTTACTGTTCTAAATTACGCATTTTTGCGTGCACATTAAAGTATGTTTTTTCTTTTTAAACTTTAAAACAATCGTTAATTCTGCGCAAAATTCTTATTAAATAATGAAAACGTAATTAATTATTATACATATATATCGCAGATCTTATTAATAACAGCTATTGTTTCGTACTTAAACATCACTTATTCTCTCACCGGTAGTAACATAATATAAATTAAAAGAAATTCATTAAAAGTGAGGCGCTGTGCTTGTAAATTTTACATTAAAAAATATAAAAATTGCATAATATTCTTTTACATGCGTATTGTGCGTATTGATTTAACTTTTCAAAAACAAATTTCGTCTATAGTTCAATTAAAGATCATTAGAAACTATAACTATTATACAAAGTGTTTAAGAATTTCCACTGTACAATTTTTGTTTATACTGATTCAAGAAAGTAAACAAGATTTGTATGAAAGAAAAAAAGTGCTATACTGACAACAAAATCATTGCATTATTATGCAAAAGTTCATATATTTACATACATGTAGTAATACTGTCACTCATGAAGTATATATAAATTGCTGGTAAGTATGTATGCAATTAACGAATGAAAAGATAGTATAGGGTATTCTCGAGTATTATGTTCACTAAGTTTACTAGACGTACGATATTAATGATGTAATATAGTGTAAAAGATAACAGTACGTGGAAATCCATACTCACTTTGTATCTTTGTAAATACTTCTATGTGTAATAAGTCTGTCATGAATATAGAAACAAATACGTCACACCGTTTGTTAATACAATAAAGCAACAGCGGGAGGCGATAATAGCGATTCTAGTTACAGATAGAGCATATTCATTTTTTAGATCTCTATCAATTACAACATAATCGAAGCGCAAACTAGCAACTAATTGATTCTCGGTTAATGAGTCGGTTATACACACATGTACATCGAGTAGGGACGTGCATCATAGCACGCGAATGGAATGGAACTGACACGGAAAGGAAAGAAAAATAAATCTTGTCGACCGATGTGATGTAAATCAAGAATTTAATGTGATTGTCCCCTGCCATAAGTGAATGGCTTAGCAGCGCACGTGCCGGAGTTAAAAACTTGACTAGAAAAGAACGAGCGTGCGAAGAAGTAACATATATAATGTCTGATTTTATAATTTTGTTTCAGAGATTCCATATTTTTTCTTTCCTTATTTATAGTAATCTCATCGACTTGTTTTCATTTTCAGTATTATTCACTGTAAGTGAGAACACTAACAGTTATTGGTAGTTCCTGATATTAATAAATGTGAACATTCAATTTTATTTCAATGTAATATCTTCAATGGTTTTATTTTCTAATTAATGATAAATTCACAGAAGCTTCTACAATGAGATTTGTTTCTTAATTATTGGCGTAATTTAATTAATAAATTTCCATTCGATGCATAGAACTACCCACATCTTTCAGTATTCTCGAGTGAAAACCTAACTCCTATTGTGCCGCGTAAGCCCTCCAATTATGCGTAACACTTCGTCGATGACTTACAAAGCACATTTGCGGACATGCCACATACATAGATATATCCCTAATCATTTCGTGTATGAAAAAGTAAAAAATGGTTCTTCTCCCCGTGTTTCAATTCACAGCAATTTTACATGCCGTACAGATAAAGTACGTGCTGTTCTCCGTGCATTTCAAACTGAATAAAAAGATCAGTCTTTCTTTAGAAGAAAAATTAGAACAGGCGTGTGTACGCACGCTTTATTTTGTATATGACACGTATGTTACAAATAAACTAACACACATGTGTGTGATATCATTAATAATTATAAGATAGATCATATCGGTGTCTGATTTTTCCTTGTCATCGGATGGTATATTAACAACGAATGCCAGTAGAAACTTTTGGAAGAATACAATACAGTCCTTAATTATGTTTTGAGCCATATAAACTGTGCCACCTATATTTGATCGTGTGTTAAAAAGAAAAAAAGAAAAAAAAAAAGAAAAGGAAAACAAAAATATATGGATAATATAAAAATAAAGAAAAGAGATATACGAATGTTTTTAAGCACTCGTATTTTACAATTTTAATATTACAATGCAATTTGTATTTTAGGTTGAGTTTGGACATCATATTGGTATAATATATTAAATATAAAAACACGATCAAATATTAGGTTGAAAAGTTATATGGTCCATTTGTCAAAATATTCGTACGTCTTATAAATACGCTTAATTTCTTCACTAGTCCATCAAATAATCGTATTTATTAATAAAAACGCACTTACTTTGTTGCGTCAATGCTTTCCTCATATGTTCCATTTTCAATCACAAAAATGTTTAATACACTCTTTCGGTTTTTTCTCAATTTCATCAATAAAAATAAGTCATTGAGAGAGATTCACAATGTTGTCAAAAAGGTAATATCACGAGCGTCTTCACTGTACTGCACTTTGTCATAGTTAACCAACAAATAGTTAACTTCATTTGTGTATTGTATCAAACCAATTGTGTATTTATCCTAATCCTATGAGTTCGTCAATGTGACATGTTTACTGCTTATTTCTTGTGGTACAAATAGATGTCTAATACACATAATTCAATAGTCTGTGCATAATATATGAAAACTCTCAAAGACTGATAGTTGCTTATGCACATGTATATTCAGTCTAACTTCGTGATGTACTTGTTTCACCAATACATTAGTAATTTCTTTGGTTGGCCCAATATATGTTTCTTTGAGCATTCGTACATTTTCAAACACTTTTAGTACGTGAATTGTCTTTATGCACATATTCACCAAACATTATTAAGATGTTCCAATGTTACATTTTGTAGTATTAAGAAGCTGGTTCATCGTCGGCTAAATTATGAAGATCCGAATAGTTCACGATAGCACGGTGTAAAAATTCATATTGTGCCTAAAAATATTAATTTATTCATTGAATTACAATATTATTTATGTTAATTTTATTTGTAAAATAATTTTTTAATATTAAATTTAAATTACATACAAAGGTGCTAATCATGCCGTGTCTCTGTGAACGTAATTTTTTTGTTGTTGTAAAAATATCTACGCGTTTTTCAGTCCTTAGTTGTTGAACCAATATACTAAGAGCGACAAACATGGAACTCCTATCCGATCCATAACTGCAGTGTACAACTAATGAACCACTTGATTCTGTATCATTTGTAAGCGTTTGGTTTACAAGTTCAATGAGACCACGAGTTACTTCAGGTACTTCTCCCTCTACTGTTGGCCATCCATGATATTGGTATTGCGTTACTACAACATTCTCATCGGTTTTTGTGTTAGAAACACAAAATTCACGATGAGTGTAATATGGACAACTCTCGCTTTGAATATATCTAACTCTTATATGGTCATAAACTGCTTCGTCATCAGGCCAATAACGTGGACATTTTCGTGGACCTTCATTTAACTGAAATAAATTTTTATATTACTATTTCTATGATACTCTAAGGGAATAGTAGTTTTATATTATATAACATACTTATTCAACGTCGGAGGCACAACAATACTTTTCGTCCGACTATATAAGTATCAACATAATATATAAGATATAAGTTGCGTACCACATATGATATTTACGCAGAGTTCGAGAAAAAATTAAAAATTGATAGAATTTCTAAGAAAAAAAAAAGGAAAAAATCTTACATCGGATAACATTACTATGGTGGAGATGCACTGTTCTGAAATCATTCGCCAAAAATCTGCTATAGTAGTATCTAATGGATCTTGAGTAATAACAAACGACTCAGAATTGTCATAGCCTTCAATAAACGACGCATTTATGTATGTTGAGTGTTCTCTACCCGGAACAGGTGTAAGAATTACTCGATTTCTGTCATATGGTATTATTAATTCGCTTCTGTTCTTGGTTTTATTTTCTTCACCACCACCAACAGAATATGACTTTCTATCTTCTAATACAGAATTGATTTTCTACAAATAACAAAAACAAAATGTACATCTTATCAATTGACTCATTTTTTTATACAACTCTTACGTTTTTACTAGAATTTATTACTTACATCATACTCTTCTTCCATTCTACATTTTTCTTTACCGTTATCTCTTTGTCTTAATCTTGCAACTGTAGTTTTAAGCTGCGATGCTGGAATTTCTGTATCTCCGTATTGTGCCATTTCCATCAATGCACGATAAATAAAGATATACTGTTTCAACGATTGCACTAAGAAGTTTCTTTGATGTCTCAGATCACATACTGTATTGAAAATCGAAACCTGGCCCTCTTCTGCAAGTTGTTGCAGTAAAGAATCTAATGCAACTAACGTTCCAGTGCGTCCGACACCTGCACTACAGTGTACCAATATTGGGCCCTTTTCTAATGAATAAGCCTCGTTTACTCTTTTAATGAACCTCAGTATCGCATGAGGATGTTCTGGTGCCATAAAATCTTTCCAAACTAAGAAATGATATTGAACAATGGTGCGTGCGTCTCGTTCTCCTAATCGTGTCATCTTTAATTCACGAACAACATAATCCGAATAAGCTCTTTCTCGGACATGTTCAACAGTGATGTCACCAAAATTTTTGGTTTCACCTTTATCTGGCCAATATTTTGCGCATTTCGTTTTTGAGTATTCTTCAAGGTTAGTTAACATAAGTATCAATTCAAGATGTTGTTCCCAAATCATTCTCCAATAATCACAAACAGTATTTTCCATTGGACCTTGCGCACATATAAATTTCTTGCGTTCTTTATATCCTAATACAAAGTTCGCATTTATGTAGTCAGATCCACAAATCCCATCCATTTGCGCGAGTTTTACTCTAGTCTGATCGTAACACTTTATATCCGGATAACGATTTTTATAGAGATTTTCGCGTGCTTCCGAAGCCCTTGTTGTACGATCTGTGAATCTATCTGGTAGTAGTTCAAACTCATGTTGAAAACCATAATCAGAATCTCGGTGTCGTTCAAGATATGACTGAAGGAGTTCGCTTTTGGGAATCGGAGGCATATCCGGCGGACTTGCCGCTACTAGTTGATGTCTTCCTCTCAGACTTCTGCATAAATGTCTTAAAATACAAACATTTATGAAACTTTAAGTACATATAAATGTCCTTTGTTAAATGTACAATAGTATGTATTCTTTTACCTGAAACTATTTCTTAAGGTTATAATTTCTTCCCCTCGTTGTTGAGCACGTCTTGTGTATCTATGCAATACACAAAGTGCAATAATAAGAATAATGATGATCAATATAAGAGCAATGGAAATTTGTAAAATTACGCTGAGTGTGGTCACTTCCGCTGATACCATAGTTATAGGATCTAGTCCTCCATAAAGAGGATTAAAGTAGTTACTATAGGCTGGTAAAAGTTGGTCTTGATTTCCAAATACTATAAAAAAACATCTTGTTACATGAAGTACTTCAAATATAAAATATGTGAATTTATCTATCAATACTAGACATACCAATGACTTCAATGAAACCTGTGTAGTTCGACTTTTCATCCAAAAAACCATCCTGGGCGGTAAATGATGGTAGTTCGGAAGATACATCGTTGCCCTTTGTTTTCTGAATAGCTATATTGTCTCTTTTTTTCCTTTCTACAGTTTCTGTGTGATTGCTGTCTATCATATTGGCAATGGTTGTTTCCATCCTCTGAGTAGTGAAGGTCGATGCAGTTGTAGTGAGAATAGTAGTCAATGTTACTGGCGTGGTAATAGTAGTAGGTGTTACATTGAGTGGCGGCGTAGTTGTTGAAACTTCAGGAACAAAATGTAATAACGGCGGAGCAGCTTTTGGCCGAAGTCCAATACATTTGTTGCACATGCTGCTACTGTTGAATGATTCACCATCACCAAGGAAAATTTCCGATATTAATCGATCGCTATCAAATGTTTCTGCAACATAAGCTCCACCAGAAGGTGAATTATGTGCATACTGATACGAATATACATTGATTTCCTCAGGTGGTGGTAAATCAGAAACACTTTTTTGTGGAGCTAATTTTACTAGATAAACTCGATAACAACATATAGGGCCATTTCGTTCCGTGATTCGTGGCAGATACAGCTTAAACAGCTGTTTACCTTGATTTTCGATTTTCCGCCATGATCGCATGTTTAAGCTATCCCTATCTGGTATTGTAATCGGTGTGGTACAATTACCGATAGCATCCTTTCCTGGTGTACGAGATCTAGTTACGCCATTCACACGAACAGTATAATTGGTATTAGGAGGTATCTGATTAAAGTGTGTGCTATTTTTCTTGTAAACGCTCCAATTCTGTGGTCCCCAAGTATCGATATCTAAACGGCCCATGTCATTTTTAAATCTAGCAATGCCAGTTAATTGTATATTATAACGGTTAATAACACCATTTGGTTTTGCAGGATGAACCCATGTAATAGAAATGAAACTAGAGCTACTTATATTATCAAATCGACAATTAACAGATAAATTTTGCGGAGGGCTAGCCACTGGAATTAAAATAAAATTTGTAATTTTTAATTTCTGAAGATAGAAAACACTGCGTTTGTAAGATTAATAATTTTACCTCCATCTATAGTAGTGCCATTCACTTCAGTGCTCCAGTTTCCACATTCCTTTGTATATTCGCTACATGCGGCAATTTTAAACTTATACGTTGTGGCTGGGTCGAGATCGACAAATGCATACACGGTAAATTGCTGCGCAGGATAAACCGCTTCTCTTTTCTGATCTTTATGTGTAACCATTAAATTATAGTAATGAACGTGTTCTTTTAAATCCGGCGGTGGCACTGACCATCTTATTGTAATAGAATTTTCGGTAACTCCGTTAACAGAAACTTTTGGCACAAATATAGGATCTATAACAAATTGAATTGATCTATTATTTGGTAGTTCAGAAAAAGAAAGTATACAATCAATATTATACCTTATTTTATTACCTTTCTCAAGTGTAGTAATCCAACGTGGATCGAGTCGTGCGTGTGATTTACCCACAATATTTGTAGCGCTAATACCAATTTGATATGCTGTACCACTTTCAAAACCTTTCAAAACATAACTTGAATTACCGCCTCCGATTTCTTCGGAATAATATTGATATTGATTAGTTCCGTTTTTCATATGTTGGATAATATATTTTTTAATCGGTTCATTGCCATCGTTTACAGTCCAGTTCAAAAATATACTTCCAGCGCCAACGGCTTTCATGAAGTCGATGCTTACTTTAGGTACATCAATCACAAAAAGATGTCTATAAGCGCTAATTTCACCGTTGTAATCGCGTGCTTTACAAATATACGTTCCGTTATCTTTACGTGTCAGACTCGCAAATTCTAGAGTCAATACAGTTAGAGTTTCGTTTATTGGTGTGATAGTAGTAAAATCCTTCCAGTGCTCAATGCTTTCTGAATCATTTCCTTTTAACCAAGTAAATTCGGACAATGGAAAACCATGTATGTGACATGTCAAGTTAGCTGATTCCATTACTTTAGCCCTAATGTCTTCTCCAGCTGTTATTCTACCTGGTTCTAAAATAGAAATAACTCATAATTAAAAACATAAAAGGTAATACAGTTTTGGAAATTATAAAACTAATTGATAATTGACATTTACCAATAACTCTAATATGAACATCCTTTTCTAAGAGTTCTCCTTCTGCAGTTTGTGCCATACACTTGTAGTCTCCTGTATCATTTCTACTAGCCTGTTTAATATCCAAACGTCCTCCAGATTCAAAATCTTTTATAGTGGTGAGATTTTTTCCATTGCTGGTCCATGACACTTGGCCAGGTACATTGAGTTTACATATTAATGATGGTGTACTACCAGCCTCTATACCTTCTAAATCTTGAGATGCTGTAATTTCTAACACTGCTGGATTCTCATTTTTTGACTCAGTGGTTTCTACTTTTTCAATAGCTGCATGAGGACATATAAAAATATGTATAAATCATGTATTAATTTTGATATCTGTATGATACATGAATGTTCAAAGTAACGCAAAGTCTTGTCAGTTTGATGATAATAGTAATAAAGGATAAATTGATAAATTGATTAACATTATTTTCTATGCATATGGTAGTTTATATGTTTGATTAGAAAAGAACTTTCAGCTAAGTATGTGAACGAATCAAGTAACTGGCTCATTAACTCATTGAAATCATAAAAGTGGAATCATATAAACTGGCCAATTTTTATCTTAACAGTTTAAATTGCCAAAGATCTGAAATATATTTTACTATAATTCTTGTTATAGAGGGTTTGATGGTTGAATATGAAATTATAGTTCAATATTAAGTATGGAAAAAGGAAAGAAAAAGAAAAAAAGGCAAAGATTTGTTTACAGCCAATATAAAATTTAAACGAAACGAAAATTATTAAACAACTGGAACTATTTCTAATTCATTAATTCGGTAGAATATTTATTTATGAGTTAACAATGACAACTGCTTATTTTAAAAATGATTTTATATTTTTTATAATTATGTAAACTTTATAACCTATAAAAATATGAATCTAAAATAATGTCATTTTATTTGAAATTCTTGTTCTTTGTGTAAAATGTAAAAGTGTGTGTATGTCGCGTAAATGATTTATTTAATGACTTCTCAACAGTTAGCACGATGGCACTAGTGACTCAATAAGCGACGTTTTCTCACGTTAAATGTCTTTAAATCATGTATCATATACGATTAAATTATTTTTATTTATCAACGGAAATAATCGTTGTATTTAAAAAAAGATACGAATTATTAAAAAAAAATAAAAAATAAACAAAATTTGTTCGTAACAATTGTTCTGGTTATTATATAAGGAGTAATATTTTTTACAATTTTTAATTCAACTTTCTTCGAAATTTATAATTTTTTTTTAACTGTGAACAAAAATTACTCTGAACAAAAATATAATTTGATTTCTATTTAATAATATCAGTACAAGACACAAAACGGATGTTTCCCGTAAATACAAAAATGATATTTAAGTATTTAATGTACCGCGTTGAAATGGATCGGTAATCAGGAAGCGATTACAAAATAAGGGATCACTTTAACATTCATTTATCGTTGAATTTGATAATTCGGTCGTTATAATCATAATCACTATTCATATGTAATTTATCGAAATGAATTCTGCTTTATTAGTGTACCTCTATTTACCTATTTGAGTGTATATGAAAGACGTAACAAGGTTAAATGAAATAGGAATCGATCGAGCAGCAACATACCACTGATCATATCATAAATAAATTTAAATCACGATACGAATAACAAAATGTAAATAATGAACTAACGGATAAATGAATCTTTCAATACTAAACATGTTATATTCTATCATTTGGAAATACATATACAGGAAATTGACTTTATGCTTTTTCCGGTAATTAAACAGATAGAAAAATTGTCTCTCCTAATATAAACACGGATCGCATAACAAACAGGAAATAAGAGACAAGGGTACATCGAACGATAAATAATTGAAATTATCAAGATACGCCAATGACATTCGATATCTTTTTATGTTGTTAATTAATCGTGCATGGCGATATGCAATTTTATACGCTTACATAAGTAACAAATCATTTGACGCAAGTTAAAGCTATTGCCATTACAAGAACTTTTTAAACGAAGGATAACAGTCATGAGGACGATGACAGCGGTACATCGTGTATTCGTTAACTACATCGCTTATAACGTTCATTGTATTCTCTGTCGACGTTCGATGAGAAGAGCGGAAGAAGCTGTCGTTGCATTTGAATCAATCACGAGATGATTTGTAAAAGTATTTGTATGACTTACCGGATTCATCAAGGCCGGCGACGATAAGTACGAAAAAGCAGAGTACCATCAAAGGGATACTCGACATCGGTAGACCACTTCGGGGAAACATGGCGTCGTGACAACCGGGCGTGAGCGTTGTATCCCTGGCCCTTTTCCCACTTCCTGCCACCTTCTTATACGTTCTCGATTCCTTTCACAATCCCATGACGTGCAGTTAGTATCGCCTGTCCATTTGAATCACGATCCAATTCACTATTTCATATCACGCTTCGCACTTACGTGCGACGCACTTTTCGAGATGCTCGGACACACTTTGCAAATCTCACCCCGTAATAGTGCTGGCGAAACTGAATCATATTATATGAATGTAATGTAGGTGCCTCGACGAACACCACGCCGCCAAATGCGAACGATTGACACTGCCCTCCGTCGGGCCTCTGTTCCAGGTTCGGGTAGACACGTCGATAATGAAGGTGGTTGTCCTGAGGGCGGGAAATTGCATCGAGTCTATTTATTATACACTGTTTTGCTTTTCTTTTTCTTTCAACAACATTAAAAAGTAATTTTGTTCCATTACGTATGACAGGAAAAATTTAATTTTTAATATGTTACTCGAAATTACAATTATGTAATATCGATGAAATAAATATATAAATATAAATATATGTATACATATATATATACATTCGTATATGTACATATGTATGCTATGAATGATTAATAATACTTTTTCCAAATATGCTTTAAAAATATTTATATATATGAAACTATTATAATAATATTTTTATACGTATTTAATTCTTGAACCCCCTTTTTATCATTGATCAAATTTGTAATTAGATATGTTTATATCTAGAATTTTTATACGTATTTAATTTTAGCTTTTATACATATTTCATTTTTAATCAATTTTAATTCCATCAGTTTTATTATATCGTAAAAAATAAATTAAATATACTTTATTATCGATGTGGCATGATCGTTATTTCTGTATTATGTCTTCTAGGGGGCTCTTGCTATGTATAACTGCCACTGACATGCACATATTCTTGCCTTTATAAAATGTTCTTCAATCTGTTTAGTTTTCTTACTTTTCTTCTTTTTTCCGCGTAAATCTCAGTGCATCAGAAAGTAGTATGGCTGAGTTGATTTTAGATCCCAACATTCGAGGTTGGGTGTTCCTGCCTATCGTTGTGATTACGTTTTTAGTAGGCATTATTCGACATTATGTTTCGATATTACTTGCCTCACAGAAAAAGGTTGAACTTCATCAAGTACAAGACAGGTTATTATTTGAATTCAAAAATTGTATTTTGAGCCTGTCAAAAAATTTAATGAAAAATTTACATATTATTATGGTGATTTTCAGTCAAGTGATGATTCGCTCCAGACTTCTTAGAGAAAATGGTCAATATATTCCAAAAATGGCATTTATTAGTAGAAGACATTTCTTTAATAATGAAGAAACAGGTTATTTTAAAACACAAAAACGTGCTCCAGTATCACAGAATCCAATGACAGATCCTAATATGATGACAGATATGTTAAAGGGAAATGTCACTAATGTTTTACCAATGGTATTAATAGGTGGTTGGATTAATTGGATGTTTTCTGGCTTTGTCACAAGTAAGTTCAATAGATTGAATGTATGATCCAAGGTATAATTTCATTCATTTTGAATTGATATTGATATTTTCATTTCAGCTAAAGTACCATTTCCGTTAACGTTACGTTTTAAACCAATGTTACAACGTGGGGTAGAATTAGCTACTCTTGATGCCGCATGGGTTTCATCAGCATCTTGGTATTTTCTTAATGTCTTTGGACTTCGTTCCATTTATACGCTTGTTCTTGGGGAAAGTAATGCTGCTGATAATCATAGACTTTTACAAGATCAAGTATCTGGTGCTGCAATGTCTATGCCACCAGATCCAAAAGCTGCTTTCAAATCAGAATGGGAGGCATTGGAAATATATGAACATAATTGGGCACTGCAAGGAATTGAAGCAGATCTTATAGGATCACAAAGAACGGATACAAGTGAAGGCATGTATTAGTAATAATGAATTTTGTCACTTTGTATTTTTAATAATAATTTATATTTTATAGGTAGCAAATAATATACAATACATCTATATCTATAGATATAGCATGTGCCATTTTGGAAAGATGATTCAACTTCTAAGTAATTATTAAATGAATTAATAATCTGAATTAGCACAATAAAAATTTTATTATTTATGGCATTTCCTAAAATATTATTTTATATTTTATTAGCATATCTGAATCACACTTTTTGTTAGTAATTTGTTACACTTTTAGTTTCATATGCATAAAAATTGTTCACACTTACCACCATAGGAATATATTTTCATCTACTCTACATTTTCATGGTACAAATAAATATTCATATTTAATATTTATAAATTGTTTAACAATATGTACTATAAAATTTATCATAATAAATATTTGTTTTACAAATGTACATTAAGAATTCCTTACTAAAGTTTAAATTAAGATCAGCAACTAAAATTTTATATAATTATGTACAATTGCATTTGTACATCATTAATACATCAAATTAAAAATTACAAAGGTTCTATCTTAGGATATAAGTCTGTTCGATGATGATTTTCGCATGGCATATTTTGGCGAATTTGTTGTAATAGGTTCAAATCAATCTCTGCTAAAGCCATGTCAGTTTTATCACTACATTGTGCTATTATTGTTCCCCATGGATCAATAACCTGGTAAAATTTTATATACATAACACGAGTATGATACTTAATTTAATAAAACTAATATATATTACAAAATTATTTACCATTGCATGACCCCAGCTCACTCTCTTTTTATTATGTGTACCAGTTTGAGCAGCAGCAATAACATAACACTGTGTTTCTATAGCTCTAGCACGTAATAATATTTCCCAATGTGCAGCTCCTGTTTGATATGTAAATGCTGATGGATATGTAAGAATTTCTGCTCCCATATTTCTCAATGACAGAGATAATTCAGGGAAACGCATATCATAACACTAACATTAGTGTTAAGTAAATATGATTTTCTTATATTTGAGGTAGCATAATATTAAACTAGTATAAAAAGGATACAATACTGAGTGCTAATTTACCAATTGGTGTAGATATAGGTGGTTCAATTTTTTTTCCTGGTAAAACATAATCAGATTCCATTAATCTGACTCCAGTATTTTTATTATCCATATCAAATAAATGTATTTTCCGGTAAGTACTGACAATTTCCCCTTCACTATTGATTACAATATGTGTATTACTTATATGATTTCCAGTGTTATCTAACTATAAATATAATTAAAATAATTATATAAATTGAATATTAATTTTTTATTTCAGAAAGAAATGCAAATTTCTTACTGATTCGTGTAGTCCACCTAATGACAACCAAATTTTATTCATTTTTGCAATTTCTTTATAGTTTGCTACTGTTGGTCCATTTAAAGGTTGAGCCATAGCTATTATATCTTTTTTATTATCCGCTAAATAATCACAGGCTTCAGGGAAAAATGCAATCTACCAAAATATTTGCAACATTTGAATAAATATAATTAATGTTAAAAAGTTAATTTGAATTTTATTTATACTTACACAAGCTGTTCTGCACTTAGCTTTCTCAACAAGTTCACGTACAGTTTGTAAATTTTTCTCTTTGTCATTTGTTGATGTCATTTGACATACTGCAATTAATGGATTTGCCATGGCACTAAAATGTTTTATAAGCTGTTTCCTAAAAGATTATGATATAGTGTAATAAAAATAACTAAAAAGATACTTAGTCTTTTTATATTTATACCAATATAAAATTTAGTTTATACAATAATTCAGGCAATTTATTGCTTATTACTTATTAAATAATATTACTTCATTTCCTTTACAATTATTACCTTTGATAGTGAATGATAGTAAAATTACTTAGAGAACGCATGCTTATCACTTATTTACATTACAGGTAAAGATATTTAATGAAATGAAAATATTAATGATGAAGTGCGATATAACATTATATGTTTACTAATATTTATGCATTTCGTAATAGCATTTTAATTAAGAAAGAAAGAATAATCTTTATATAGATTTAATTATGATTGCCTTTATGGTATAATAATGTTTTTAATTTATAGAATAAATTGTCAGAATTATAGGTTAAGAGAAACTTGGAATTGAAAAACGAACGTTCAAATTATGCGCGCGCAGCGATGTGCCATCTATGAAAGACGTTATAATTCAAAATTTCAATCAGTTCGATTCTTGCGATTGTTACGAAATATTTCGTTCGTTTGGTATGTAAAATTTCATTTTTTAAGAAAGTTATTTGTGTTTGCAACCTTAGTAATTAATATTTATATTCCGTGGTAATGTAATGCTGTGAATAGATAACAGTAATAGTGGCAATTGTGAGTAATATTGATAAAATACTTTTATTAACGTAATGGCAATCGTGTTCAAAATGAGTGGATTATAAAAGAAATAGAAACAGCGGATTTGCAAGAAAACGAAAAACAGTCTTCTATTGGTAAGTCGCTTTATTTTTGCATGTCTTTTTTAATGATAATTTTTGAATTATTAACGTAAATGAAACAAGTAGAAAATTTGTTATATTATAACAGTATCGATAAAAACTTAACGTGAGCAAAACAAATAAAACGAACCTTCCCTCCCTTGTTCATTGTAGTAGGGATATTTTAAGTCTACAAATAATATTACCACCACGATATTTTTCATTTTTATTTATTCTATTTTATTAAATTGTCATAGTATATAATACACAAGTGAGACATTCATTTATTAAATTCACTTATCAAGCAGAAATAATGTTCTCATTCGTGGAGTTACGTTTACTGTTCTCGTTAAAAAGTCGATAACAAAAGGACAGTACATGTTTCTACGGAAAAATCACAACTTACTAGTACATCCTGCTTGAAGGACAATCAATAAATACTACTGTTCTACTTGTAAATGCATTTGTATCGTTGCGTGGAACAGATACTCTAAAACTCATGATGGGCAAGGCGGGGTTTGGAAGTCGAAGGGGATGAGAAACCTAGTATCCGAGAAACACATAATAATATCACGCACTCGGATTGTTTTCGTTCAACGAGAAAAAACATCTAAAATATCTATAGTAAAAGTCTCAGGGAGTTTGGACAAGTTGGAAAGGGGAAAGAGATGGGTTAGAGGGAGGGGGTAGGGGGAGCAAGTGATGCAATGCTGCAAGATCAAATAATGTCGTACTAATTATGTTTCTTTTTTTTTTGTTCCTTTTTCTCGTTTCTTTTCTGCCGTTTTGTAAGCTGCGTTAATACAATCGTTGAAATCGACACACATACTTTTGGGACACACACACAACTTTATTTGCCTTTAGTGGCTCGTATCACCTTGCAAATTTCAATCCACGGGTGTCCGTAGGAACTGCAAATGTCACAGACGTTCGACGAGCTTGATGATGGTTGACTAGGTTGGTGGCCGGGTGTACTCGGTGAGGATGACCCTTCTTTTTTCAATTTACACGTGGATGACGAGAGATGTAGAAAATCGACCGAGGGTGGTAGAGAGGCGGGTGCACGTGTTTTACGCGATGACGGTAATGTTGCTGAGTTGTACGACGATGACGAGTTAGACGATGGCAGTATCGAGGGCGATCGCTCGAGCGATGGAGATTTTGCCGCCTGTATTGACCGGCTCGAAGGCGACGATAGGCGTAGACACCGTAGAAGGTTGAGTCAATCATTGAGCAGACCTTGAGATACGCTGATCAGCTGCTCCTTCAGTACGCGGAAGGAGGGTCGCACTTCCGGGCAGTGGGCCCAGCATTTTCGCATTACCTGAAAATAAATAATAAATTAAGTCTCGTTGCAAGAGTTGTTACGAATATTATATTTTCAGATAACCGTATTCATTTCCTCTGGTAAATTATGTTGTGGCAAACCTCATAGACTTCTTTGAAGCAAGCTTTAGGTCTTTCCAATATGATTCCACGTTGCACTCTTTCAACAACTTCGGTGTTTTTTAGGCGTCCATAAGGCATCTTTCCACATGTAAATACTTCCCACATAAGTACTCCATAAGCCCAGACATCTGACTTTGAGCTGAAGCGAGTGTAATTTAACACTTCTGGGGGCGCCCATTTGATTGGAAATTTAGTGCCGCCACTGCTAGTATACTGGTCATCCAGTACATACCTAGGATACAATTGAGAAGTTTGAAAACAGTAAGTGCAAGCTACAAGCTTTAAGATGAAGAAAGAATTTTTACCTTGCTAATCCAAAATCTGCAACTTTCACTACATTTTCTGAGCCCACTAAACAATTGCGCGCAGCAAGATCTCTGTGAATGTAGTTATGCCTTTCCAGATAAGCCATGCCTTTGCATACCTGTAATTAAAAGCAGTAGTTAAATTAGCATTAATTACCATAATAGTTAAAACAATAGCATATTGATGATCTTTGAAGATAAATTTCACCTGTATGCACATGTCTAAAAGAAGACCAACATTTGCACCTAGAGTTGCTTCATGGCGACGGAGGTAGTTGAGCAGAGATCCATGTCGCATGTATTCAGTGACAATATATATTGGTCTGTCCTTACTGCAAACGCCATACAGCTGAACCAAATTCTGATGCTGAAGTTTCCTAATCAAAATAGTTTAACATTTATCCAATTTATCATTGATTCACTAAACTTTATTATTCCTTAACGTTGTAACCATTGTTAGTTGATTCAATTATCGACTCACGTCATCACTTTAGCTTCTTCTATAAAATCATCTTCAGACATTGTGCCTTCTTTCATCATCTTTACGGCAACGTCTATGGAACCACGCCATTTTCCTCTTCGTACTACTCCAAACTGTCCAGAGCCAAGTTCTTCCAATAAATGCAGTTCTGCTGGATCAATTTCCCACTTATCTGGAAATCAAAAAGCTATTACAGTATTTTGAAAAGAACACTAGATTACTGTCTAACAAATCAGAGAAAAATAAGAGACACTCCTTTGGAAATTTAACACTAAAGGATTACAAACCATGACTGAGGCCAGCAGTTGGTGGTACAGGACGATCACAGGGGCTGGTTTTCAATCGGCTGGCTAATCCACCGCTGTTATGCCTGTGATAGTTTACTAAATCAGGTATAGAACCACAGCAATGTTTCTCTGATAAATAAAACTCCCCTCTGGTGTTTTTCTTGATGTGATAGTGTTTCACATGAGGATGTGGACTGTAACAGTATGAATAGTTTGTTATTGACATTTTCTTATAATATTACTGTCTAAAGTAATACTACAAGTGGAAGTACTTACACTTTAGTGTAAAGAGAAAGCGTGTACAGTCCTTTGGTAGATGAATTACGTACAACAAAGCATCCTTCCTTATCCTCCTGCTTGAGCAATGATTCTGCACGCTGTCTGGACATATCACCCACGTACCACCTATGATTTGAAACATTATATTTTAATCACTATTCCACTACGTCGTTACATATACTCTTGAGAACTCTAAATTTGCGTTGAACAACATCATCTGCATACTTACTCATATTTTTGGAGACCCAGGAGTTCCTTTTCCTTCACATAGTTGCTGGGAATGTAACCAATGGATCTGAAAGGAAAATTGAGGATTACAGTTAATTGTTCTATATTATTATTTATATGCATTACTCTATAACCATTGCACAAGTTTAATTATTAATCAGCCTATCTTCAGAAGCATCATTATACTTCATGAACCAATATCAGATCATGTTATCTAAGTTTCAACAGAATTCAATTAAAAATTTGCAGTAAATATTGCAAACAAGTTAAAAGTAATATTATATAGCCTAACAAGCATCATTTTATTACAACTCTGCTTCATTTTCAACAATTTGTACTCAAATTGGAAGAAAGAAATTTTTACCGTGTATTTCATTTTAGTTCATTTTGATTGAGCATACAGAGATACAACATATCTGATTTTGTACTAGTTCCCCTTGACCCGTGTTTCCTTGGCACGTTTCATCATATAGCATTCACGAGTCGAATTGTCGGTCAACGCACAGCCCTAATCCGCTTTTGGCTACGCTAAGTAGTCATTAAGGAGTATGCAGAGAGTAACTTAAGCCTTTAAAAGCACTCGATTGCCGATGCGCAAGTTGCCAAGGGGATATCGACTTTTAGTGAACACGACGTTAATTCTGATTGCTTAATTGCCGAGGTCTGATTAATTTGAAATATAATCTGCATGGAATTTTGTACGCGATATATTCTACGTATCCGAATTAGTGCTTCGGTAAGTTGTAATATGTCTCTAAAGAAATTGTAATAGATAAGAATAAGTTGTGATAGATCTCTGAGGAGCTTTGCTGCAGCAAAGTACATTTGCCAGAATATTTTGTAAATTAATAAACCAATGAGAAAGATGCAGGTCGCAGAAACGGATGATCAGCTTAGGCGTGTTCAAATTGTATAAATGAAATATAAAGCTGCGTAATTCTTCCTTCTTTAACATTTTGATCCGAATTGTTCCCATTAGTCAGTGCACTCTTCTTGTCTCTGTTTACGTACCCATGTTCATCTTTGACCCTCCACCAATGTTCCTGAGTATCATCTAGCACCTCGTACTCTGCACCCTGGAACACAAGAAAATTGATTATTATCTATCTATGACCTTCGAATAATTTTAAATGCCAATGACGCGATCTCGATGATCCTCTGTGACCTTTAAGTGACTTCTTGATCGTCAATGTCACGACCTCTATAAACGTTCATGATTTTCATATGACCTTCAGTGTCAATAACACGACAATGATGACTAATCATGACCTTTGAACTTTGACTTCTATAACGTTCAAATCACCTTGGATGTTAGCGACATGACTTTGATGATATCTCGTTACCTACAAATGATCGCACAACCTCTATGATCTTCGAATGACCTTGACTGTCAATGATATGACCTCGATGACTAT